TTTGTTGATTAGGGTTCCAAGATTTAAAGTTGTTGACATAAATCAATAATATGGAAGAATGTCATTTTTGGTTATTTTACATGTATAAGCAAAATTTGTCGAACACTAAAAACAAGTTATCAGCTTATTGCGTTTTAGTACCGCCATAAGCTAATTCAAACATTTTTTACAAAACTCCGGTTTAATACCACATAAGTTAATAAGCACTCTTATAAAAAAGTACAAGTTGTTTTAAATAAGCAATCCCAAACACTTCTTAAGTAATTTCACGTAAGTACCAAAAGTAGGGGTGCTCAAAAACCCGACCAACCCGATCAACCCAACCCAACCCAACGAGAAATAAACCCAACCCGAAGCAACCCGATGTCTAATCGAGTTGTAAAATTGTCAAACTGTATGTATTGGGTTGATATTGGGTTACTATTATTTGAACCCAACCCGATGAACCCGATATCCTTTTATTTCTTGGATTTAATATGATTGTTGAATTTCTATTAATATATACATTAGACAATTACACTATCATGTATGCTTTTCATATATACATATTTTCAATCTATTCATATCACCATATAATTCATTCATATATATGTTCAGTAAATGTGAACATATATATGTAAATTGAGAAATTAACGGGATGTGATATATGTAAGAAATATGAATAAGTTGTATCAAATGGTTGATGATGAAAAAGAAATTATGAGTAGAGAAATAACATATTGAAGGTTAGAAAAATATTTTAATATACCAAAGTATCAACCCGACCAACCCGTACGGGTTGGGTTGGGTTGGGTTGTACTTTGGTTTGGGTTGGGTTGGGTTGGGTTAAGATTTTTCCAAACCGTAAGCATTGGGTTGGGTTGTTCAAATGTCTTCAACCCGATCAACCTAACCCAACCCATGAGCACCCCTAATCAAAAGCCCAAATGAAGAACATCATTCATATAAAAACAACTTATTAACTTATTCTGATGTGATACCGGTAATTAGGGCTGTAAACGAACCGAACGTTCAGCAAACCGTTTGTGAACCATTCGACGGGAAATTCGTTTATGTCCGTTTATTTAATAAATTATCAGACATCAACATTTTTTTTGTTCGTTTAGTTAAACGAACGAACATAAACAATAATCTCGTTCATTCATTTATGTTCGTGAACGTTCGTTCATTTATGGTTCGTTTATGTTTGTTTATATAATCTTTTGTTTATATACTTTGAATTCAAATAATATTTATTTATGTTCGTTTAGCATGTTAACGAACGAACATAAACAAACACGAACATACGTGATTTCTAAACGAACGAACACGAACACAAAGATTTTCGTTCGTTTACCTTTCGTGTTCGTTCGTTTGTTCGGTTAAGTTAAACGAACGAACATGAACAAGTCTCCGTTCGAGTTCGTTCGGTTTATTTAAAGTGCTACCGGTAATAAACATTTTTGAATGTTTGGATAAACAACTTATATCAATATCAAATCGGTAATAAGAAGTGTTTGAAGAAATTAAACTCTTCTAACTTATAATAAGTTGATAAGTAATTTTGTAGAAAATTGTAACCCGTTCAAATAAGCAATCCTAAAACACCCGTTGGTGTAGATGGAGTTTGACGAAACAGAAATTATGAATTGGCATCTTCATCAAATCTAAATTCAAATTAACCATGAAAAATATCAAGAAAAATTGCATTAACATCAGGAACAAATCCATCAAAAAATCTACAATACAAAAGCCATACAGATTAAAAACTTAAATCTAAAAAAACAAAAAAACCGTATCTGGTTGGTGGTGATATTGAGGGTTTTTTCCGTTCAAGCCAGATTCAGGTTCGAGCCAAGAACAAGGCCCAGATTCATCAAGGAACCCCTATTTCTAAATCAAAATCAGAATCCGTAACCTACTGCCGTGAGGATCGAAGGAAGAGAGTAAAACTGCTGCTGCCACCATGAAACGAGAGCAAAACCGATCAAGATCCGTACCTACACCCCTTTCATCTTTGTACCACCACCCAGGATCACCATCACCATTGAATGAGAGGGAACGGTTGAGTTTTCAACATTCGTTTACAGGCGCAGTTTGGATCCATCCCTTTGCAGGCAGTGTCAAGAAGGAGATGGAATAGAAAAACGAGAAGAAAATGGATGGGTTTCAGATGAATGTGGGGGGGGGAGGGAGGGGGATGAATACAGACACA